TTGGTAAATGTTAGAATATCAAATTTAGTCAATTCCCCCTCCTCCTTTATCTGGGCTCAGCGGCGGCTTTGCGCATGCGCGATTCATTAGCAGTCTGGACGTGGGGCGGTGTGGGTCTCCTCTGTGCTCCGACTGCTGCGCGAGGCTACTGTGAGAGTTTTGGGACGGGGGAGGGCCTCACGATGCTCTTTGGGGACAGTAAATGCAGTGATACGTGCTTTCACGTTAGTCTCCAAAACACCAGAAAAGTCTCCAGTAACACCAGAAAAAGTCTCTAGATTTGTCGTTAGTCGCTTTTGACAAAAAAGTCGCCAAGAGGATTTGGAAAGTCGCCAGATTTAGCAAGAAAGTCACCAAGTTGGTAACACTGGTTCACTATTCACATACATTTTAATAAAAATGTGTTTATTGCTAAACCTTAAAAAAATTAAACTGGAGCCCCTCAAATATCTTGTAAGCAAAAACATGGGACTTTATAGCTAGTATGATATGCCAAATCCTAGTCTGGGCCCAGACCTTTCAGCTGCAAATATAACATCCAGGCCGTCCCTTGGTTCCCAACCTGGGGTCCATGGGCACCGAAGATCACTGGGGGTGCATAAGGAATTGTCTCCTCTGAGGTCATGATGTTGCCAAAATTAGATTTACATGCTAAATAAAATCATAACACTCTTACTGGTTACAGTCTACACAGAAAACTAAACAAATTTCTTTTGGTCCTCACTCAAAAAATAGTAAGCTACGTACATATACTCCTTTCAGATATGAAGTGAAGTCCTGACATTGTCGTAGTGTATGTGAAGAGGTGCAGGTGGGAAATGTCCAGCAGTCTGCTTGGACATTACACTGCTAGAGTATTTCCCCATTCAGTCTCTCATACCTCCAGAAGTGCTCTCTTCTCACACTGCTGCAGGACACTGGACTGCTGCTGGGTGTCAGTGCAGAGCATAGCACACAAGGTGCAGAGCAGAGAGAACACAGCAGAACAGACAGCAGGATTTTGTGTATTTTGGGCTGCATGGTATAAAATCTGCTTTTTAAAAAATGTACAAGTAGGTGTGGCTCCAAGAAGAAAGGTTGGGAACCTCAAATAGCAGAAAGAGAAATCAATGGCAACGATTAAATGTATAGATAAATATGAAAAAACACAGAATATGCAGAAAATAAGAGTATATGCTAAAATAACTGTACTGGTGAAGCAAAAATGGTGATAGTTAGATAATGCCCCTAACCATAATTAAAATAACATCAAACCATCTGATCAGAGAATAGGCTCTGTGTCATTCCAATTGACAAATGCATCTTTCCACCTGAAAAGAAAAAAAAAGGTATTTGGGGCTGATCTATGATCCTTTATTACTTAAAGCTGTAAAGTATGCAGGTAATTCAAACACACCTTAATTAACAGTAGTTAAAGTCCCAACATTTTATGAATGTTTTCAGGATGTGCAGACATCATTGTGCATGTGAGTGTTAAGTCCATGTGTTACCTTGTTCGGATACAGTGCTCTAGTGGAGGAATGAGATCAGTGTCAGCATCCTGACAGCTCGTGGCCAATTTGCCAACAGCTAAAAAGTACAATCAATGAACATTTTCAGTTTAGGCAAACTCACAATTAGTGCAACAAGAAAATAACTACACACTACATTCTTCTGAACAGTCATTCATTGAGGCAGTTGGATTAAGAGAAATATAACAATCAAAACATAAAAGGACATGTAGTAAGACTGTGGGACAAGTGATGCTACATAAAGACAGTGAGACGGATCTCCTCCTGTTGATTGGCTAGTCAGTCATAATAGTACAAGTCAAATTCCAGGTCTTTCTCCGAATTGGTCAACAGCCCCCTCTGCAGGCCAAACAGCACACTGAAGTGGCTTTCACTGCACACCACCCAGATAGGGTAACGGGGAGTTTTCAGGTAGGCTCCTACCTTAGATAGGAAGCAGAATGCAAGACAGCAAAGTCTAGTCTGTTGGCATGTTAGGCAAAAATCATTTCAAATGTTTCAACTACTCCATTGTCATATTAACATTGGCAAATAACAGCCTTCTTAAGAACATTCCTTGCTGTGAATGTGGGCATATCTGTCTCGCGGATGGTGCAGATGTGCCCATAATTACAGTAAAGATTGCCGCCTGAGGTCTTGTGCCTTCACGTGCATCTGAGTGGTATGTGGTCTGTCAGAGGCAGGGCGAACAGAGAGTCAGCCAACAATGTCACTCACTTTGCAGATGTTGTAATGTTCAAACAAGGACAGCAGGCCAACATCACATTGGCTTTTGATTCCCTTGAGTAAAGTCATGATGCCATTGCCTGAGTCTAACTCCATGTCATTGTCAAAAACATTAGAAACTGCTCTGCCACAGAGCAACAAGTTGACCAGCTCCTGGTGAGCACAAAGAGAAAAAGGCAATGTCAGTATAACAATGTATTTCCTGAATACAGTACAATTTGTTTTGTATGTTCCACTAAGATTCATCTGCTGTGGTGCCATCATCAACATTCTCTTACGTTCTGCATGCGCTTGTGTTACGTGATCACAGTACATCTTTGATTTTCCCCACGACAATTATTTGTAGTTGTTGACTGAAGAGCTGTATGTACACTCAAGGCTCTGAAGCAAGACCTGTTCAGTTCTACCTGTCTCAACTGTCACAAAAGCAACACACTTGAAAAAAAATTAAGCAAATTGATGGCTTTTACACTTTGAAGATGAAGTCTCAAAACCAGTGCCATCCAGCGCAATCCATTTACCTTTATTATTCTTATAACATCTGCTATTCTGAATCACAAAAACAATACTCATACCTGAGTGCAGTAGCCATGGGCTCCGATAAGTGTGGTGGTGGGCACATCCATGTCCTCTCTTATTCTTAATTAGAAAAAGAGAGAGAATGCACACTTAATGTTGTTTTACCATACTGGCTTATAGCGATTTACATTGTACGTGTTGTTCAATAATACTTTTACCTCTCAATCGATCGAGAGAGAACAGCAGATATGGTAAGCAGTATGCATCCTAACACCCCGGTCTCAAACTGTGGAAAAAAAGACAGTTTAAAACTGAAAAGCTGTGACAAGCTTTTGTACATCTGACAAGCAAAACAAAACAAAACAAAACAAAACAGTCTCTCACCTGCTCAATATGCTGCTCAAGAAGCAGCTGCACATCCTTGATACTGTCCACAGTGAAGCATGTTACCTAAACAAAAAGATATTCAGAAAACTACTGCAGCAGTGCACAGTAAAGTAGAGGTAAAAGTATAGAGAGGAGCAAAACAGATATGTTTAGGTATTTATTACATTATTATGCAAATCATTCCAAATAAGATATGAATCAATGTGCAAATTGTTTCTGAATACCCAAATAAAGGCACTGACAGTAGCATTTTAGACACAGTATGCCACAAATCTAAACACAATATTAAAAGGTGGTCATGCTATGTACATAGTACTATTGAAGAATATCTGTCTGAGAGAGCTAAACAATATGTTGCATTTTAAATTTAAAAAATCCTCATCTATATGCTGCCACGTTCAACTGTATTCCATCTGGTCATCTTGAATATAACTATATACATTTCAGCTGTTATCTATGCAGTGGCATGTCAGTACCTTTTCAAGTACTCCCTCAGATTTGTAGTGTCCTGTTGGGGTGAAATGATTTCTGCCTGAAATTCTGTTTTACAAAAAAAAGAGAGAGATAAAAGATGATGTTAAAAAACAAACAAACACACACACACACACACAAATGAATGACTTAAACCAAGTATACGTTAGAATAGTGGTGGAACATCTGGTTTAACTTTTGGCTTGTACAGGTGATGTGAGCCCAGATAAACAAAGCAACTGTAATAGAGGTTGCTTGTGTGACAGTGACACACTTAACCCTTAAGCCAGGTCTTCACATGCATTCAACCTAGTTAAATACAAGTAATTAGGTTTTATGTATTGGTAAATATTTGTGGGGGGATAAAAGTATGAACTTACATTGAAACTGTAGCTTGTCTTTCCTCACCAGCCCTCCACAAGATTTCAGCCACAGCTAAAACAAGACACTTTCTTCTGGTGGTGTTAGAAGGTCTTAGCCTCCTGAGAGCAAAATGACATCTGAGTGAAAAGTAGCTCGCCTGGAATAATAATACTGTTAACACTAAAATGCAGAGGTCAATACATAATAACGGCTATAAAGCACTCCTTGATGTAAATAGTGGCTGTAAAAAGCATTGAGGTGATAACACAGACGTTAATATTGGGGGGGTTGAACTAAAGTGTGACATACTGAAGGCCTGTATTACTGTTTTCACTTGTTTCAAACAGCAGTTTCTTAAGAACAAAGGCTTGGATTGATGCCAGAACTCCACAAGGGCCACCCTAGAAAAGAAATACACAAATGACAAATATGAACAATAAACAATAAAAATAAATAGTAGCTCCATAAATCATATGCAATTCAATGTGTTGGATTAATACACTTTAGCAGGATGGCAAATGTAAAAACACCTTTTTCTGCACAATTCCATATCTGAGGTCATGTGTTTCTGAAAATGTGAAACCCTGATTCCTCCATTCAGCACTGAAACAATTTAGGCTGGAACCAAGAAGAACTGCTTTCAGTTCCTAGTGAAACACAAGAACAGAAAACACACAGAAAATCAAAGGTGACTGCAGAAAATACACCCAGCACTTGTACAGAAACAGTGCCATAAATCACCAACCATGGCAGTGTGCTGGTCCATTGGACAGCCTGCATAGCTGTGCTCTTCAATGGTTCTCTGACAGGACACTTTGGGGAGATCTGGCAGATCATCATTATCATCATCAATATCATCTGGAAATTGATTAAAAACTGTCAGCTTTGACAAGTCCAAGTCAAAAAAGTCAAACACAATGGATGAAGCCTCTTTTTATATTCTTCCACTCCACTTACCTAAAACCATTTCAGACATATCCAAGCCAGCCACGATAGGCCTGGTCCTTACTCTAAAAAAACAAAAAGAACACAGTATTGACAAAGTTAAGAACAAAACCTGAAACCCATAAGAAGACACCTTCAACAAGTTAAAAACATGACACCATCACTTATTAAGTGAAGTGTAACATGCTAAAGTTATTTACTTTGTTGTCTTCCGTATGTTTTGCCCCACTTTTTCAAAGCTGATTTCACTTTGCATTCTCTCTGGTGCACTCCATGACTCCCATCTCCCTCCTATGCAGTCAGCTGAGCTAATTTCAGTTAGGCCGCTTTCTAAACTTTTTTGGTGTAAGGCAGGCTCCAAAAGCCCCTCTCTAGACTGACTGCTTTCCGCTTCTTTTCTAAGCAGTAGCTCAGCCCCCTCTACTCTTCGACTCTGCCTTTTTTTGCTCAATTCCTAAAGGGAAAAGGGAAAAAAATCAGTAAATGATAAGAATGTTCTAAATATAGGATAAATACATATTTAAGAACCACACCAGAAGTTCAGTACCTGAGGTATACTAGCTATAGGTCCAGTCATCATGCCACGTCTAATTCGACCAGTTCTGCTCCTCTGGTTACTCTGAGTCACAAGAGTCTTTTTTTCTGGCTCTCTCCCGATCAAGCTCTCAGTGTCCTGTACAGAAACCATCAGCGGCTGTCCCTTTTGAACTTCTGAGTCACTGGCACAGAAACCCATTTGATTAATGGACAGTCCATCTGTCTTAGGCAATAAAGAACACCGAGAAGGGAAGATTTCTTCCACATCAGACCTGTGTGACAGAGAAATCCTAGATCAGTTCAAAGTCAAAACAGTACAAAATTATGTACTGAACATATTGCTTGTGCAAATACCTTATTTTTGTGTGCTTGCTAATGAAAAAAGCTCTTTTATCTGTCTTTGTGTCATTCATCTTTGTTGCTAATTGCATTACTGCAGAATTAGCAGTGGAACTGACAGTCAGGGCAGACTTCAGAGGATCATTTTCACTGCTGATCTTGTCATTGGTAAGGCCCTCGATGTGATGCTTTATAATTATCTCCAGTAATGTTTTCAGAGGGGAGGCCTGAACCTGCAATGACAAAGATGCCAGCTATGGACTTTGATCTTTCCTATTATCCAGTGGCACAGCCATCAATCTCTGACTGCAAGACGTACCTTATTCTTTCTATAGAGACTCTCCATGTTGAGAATCTGCCTCAGGTGGGATCTGTTGTTGATACTGGCCTCAGTGCGTGGATGCTCCTCGTCCATACAAGCAATCGTCCTTTTAAGTCCCTGCACATCAGTTCCGACATGATCACCGTTACGCCATAGTTTGAGACCAGTCAAAGCCTGTGACTAAGAATTTTAACGATAGCCATTTTACAGCTGAAAATGCTTTTAATATGGTCACATTTTAACAAAAAAAAAAGTTAAAAAGATTACTATGACCTTGTCTGGCGTTAGGCAAGATAGTTGGGCATGGGCTAACAGGGAGCTAGCTACTGGAGAACGCTTCGCACTTCCCGTTCAGTTAGCTAACTTACCTTTCGACTCAGATATTCCCGTACAAGGGAAGAAGCAACCTCTTCAACGGAGACGACCATGGCCGGTTATAACGTGAATGCTCTTCTAACATTGATTAGTCAGCAAGAGGCTATTTTGGCCATTGCGCTGGCGAACAGACCAGCAAACCATACTTAAGATGTGGGATTTGCTGCGCCACACATTACACAGATGTGTATTACCCTAGGTTGAGGGACCGTGGATGTTTCAGAGACCAGGTGCTATGTGATAAAATTAGTCAAACTGCGCAGTCTTTCAAGTCAGTGGGCGTCCCAAGGCTCAGGAGCATGGATATATGCATAGATTTTGAGGTAAGCTAAGTCTGTTTCCCCGTAGTTTCCATGGCGATGCTAGTCGCTCCATTCTCCCACTATATATATGGCCAATGGATGAGGCATGTAAATATGGCGACCTATTATTTCCACTACACAATCCTCACCCAGAATACATTTAGGTTACTGGTTGATCAACGCATGCGCAATAGTGCTTAGTTGACAGTGGACTGGACCATGGTCTGCACCCTCTACAGGGGTCGCAAGATAAATTGAAAGAGTATCGAGATTATTTATGGATATACGTGTAAATAAAACATATTTAGTTTCTTTCGGAATAAGTTACAATCTTCTTACAATCTTTTTGCTTTTTACATATTTTTTGATTTATTTATGTAACCCATTAGGAGTACGGCTGATTGCCACCCCCTACCCCCGTAACAACTAGTACTATTATGCTGGAATAATACTTATTTTGTGTTTATTTATGGCAGTTTGATTAAATGACACTTAATAAGGAAAACGCATCATGTCAGGACAAAATAAAATAAGTGAATAAAACCCTAACAGATAACAATTTTGACACAAGATCTCTTTAAGAGATATTGTATGGTCAAAAATATGAATAATGCAGCAACTGCCTGAATGGATATCATACAGTAAAGGTGAAATTTAAAATTGAAATGTATTAAATTACCAAAACCAATTAACATACAGAGATCTTAAAGCTTTGCAGCCTTTCGGGGTCAGCCTACTTTGCCTGGTTGGTAATCCAATCATGATGAGTGGGGGTCACAAACCAAAAGCAAAGCAAGTAAAATGTACAGATCAGGCAGTAGGTGGCAGCTAATCAGGTCTTCCCTATTTAAATATAATACATCACAAAAAAGTTGTAATTTTTGCTCATTTTATTAAAACATTTCCATTCATAATATATGACATATTTTTGGGTTAACCTATTGTATGTTTTTCATTATCAAACCATAAGTGGTTACCTACTGTCAACACAACAGAATTATGACAGCTCTATCAAGAGTAATACATGTAACTCAGAAGAAAGAGGTGGGGCTAGTGAATGAAAAATCTACATATTAAGATTGTTTAGATGCTACAAATCAAGAATAGTTTATCTGGACCTTTAAATGAACATTAGGATGTATAGATGAGTTCAAATAGCTTTGTTCCTGCAGTATGCGTTATACCATTACAATGTCGTCTCATAAAAAATGCTTCAGTGATGACTAACAAATTACTCCCTTGATATAATGCTAGTCGCTCCATTCTCCCACTATATATATGGCCAATGGATGAGGCATGTAAATATGGCGACCTATTATTTCCACTACACAATCCTCACCCAGAATACATTTAGGTTACTGGTTGATCAACGCATGCGCAATAGTGCTTAGTTGACAGTGGACTGGACCATGGTCTGCACCCTCTACAGGGGTCGCAAGATAAATTGAAAGAGTATCGAGATTATTTATGGATATACGTGTAAATAAAACATATTTAGTTTCTTTCGGAATAAGTTACAATCTTCTTACAATCTTTTTGCTTTTTACATATTTTTTGATTTATTTATGTAACCCATTAGGAGTACGGCTGATTGCCACCCCCTACCCCCGTAACAACTAGTACTATTATGCTGGAATAATACTTATTTTGTGTTTATTTATGGCAGTTTGATTAAATGACACTTAATAAGGAAAACGCATCATGTCAGGACAAAATAAAATAAGTGAATAAAACCCTAACAGATAACAATTTTGACACAAGATCTCTTTAAGAGATATTGTATGGTCAAAAATATGAATAATGCAGCAACTGCCTGAATGGATATCATACAGTAAAGGTGAAATTTAAAATTGAAATGTATTAAATTACCAAAACCAATTAACATACAGAGATCTTAAAGCTTTGCAGCCTTTCGGGGTCAGCCTACTTTGCCTGGTTGGTAATCCAATCATGATGAGTGGGGGTCACAAACCAAAAGCAAAGCAAGTAAAATGTACAGATCAGGCAGTAGGTGGCAGCTAATCAGGTCTTCCCTATTTAAATATAATACATCACAAAAAAGTTGTAATTTTTGCTCATTTTATTAAAACATTTCCATTCATAATATATGACATATTTTTGGGTTAACCTATTGTATGTTTTTCATTATCAAACCATAAGTGGTTACCTACTGTCAACACAACAGAATTATGACAGCTCTATCAAGAGTAATACATGTAACTCAGAAGAAAGAGGTGGGGCTAGTGAATGAAAAATCTACATATTAAGATTGTTTAGATGCTACAAATCAAGAATAGTTTATCTGGACCTTTAAATGAACATTAGGATGTATAGATGAGTTCAAATAGCTTTGTTCCTGCAGTATGCGTTATACCATTACAATGTCGTCTCATAAAAAATGCTTCAGTGATGACTAACAAATTATTCCCTTGATATAATAACAGGTAAGTACCACAATAACTTTTATTAATATGGAAAAGTGGACAGAAAGCTATGGGTTGATTAAAGTGGTGGTATTATGGCACTTTTTGTCCCATTTTTATAAATACTGACTGCATTTCAGCCATATCTGTGAGATTTTATTCACCCACATTGTTTTATTGCTTGTTTGTTTGTTTGTTTTTTGTTGTCCATTGTACCACCTATTTAACACTGATGAAGTTGCAGAATACCCAAGATGTGAGATGTTTTACTAATATTCACCTTTTCTGAAATTAGAACACAAGGACATGTTATACTACTGGATACAGCCTTATATTGGTATATTGTTTACTTTCCCTTTGCTGTTGCCTTACATAAGGATATGTACATACACATTGAGAGCCGCTGTACCAGAGTCAAATTCCTTGTGTCCAACACACCTGGCCAATAAAGCTGATTCTGATTCTGATCTTACTTTTACATTTCAGTGCTTCAAGCATCACATCTGCCAGGTATGGAAAATAACTGGTGATATTTACAATACAATACAGTGCTACATAAAATTTGCTGTTATCACAAGTTAGGGCCTCACAGTGAAGTTTTGTGCAACCCTTGGCATGGGAACAAGAATCTTGTCTACTTTTGGCACCAGTATCATCCTTCTCTAACAGGGAGTGCAGCTCTACAAATGAGCAATACGTAAACATCTTGCTTTTTTTTTTTTACATTGTGTATCCCTCCGTTAGGAATGACAAGCATTCTATTATTTTCTTCCCCCTGCTGTTTGACCATACCATACCATGAGGGATGAAGTTTTTTACAAAAGGAGTGAGCAACAACAGGAAAGCTTCCAGAACATGGAAGGGCATCAGTAGTCATAAGCTGCAAGAAAGACAGAGAAGAGCAGTTATCCACATCTGCCATTCAGCGTGAGTTCACTAGGAAGAGGAGCATGCAATCCACTTTATTGAGAGAGGCTGAATTCCAGATTGGAGGAATCATGCAGGCATGCAATTACACTAAGGTTGTCTTACTTTCTATTGTGAGGATGCAGGTACTTGCTGCTGTGCCTCTGCTGTTCACAGCCTTGCACATGTACTCTCCCTCATCCTCTGGGAAGGTCTCTGGCAGGTAGAGGCAGTATGTCTCTCCCCGCTCTATATACTGATAATCCTCACAGTCTTGGAGCATCTCTCCCTCAAACCACCAGGTCACCTCTGGCTTCGGCTCTCCAGTGATCTTAACAGTGAATCGAACGGGCTCCGAGTCCACCACTGATTGATTCTTAAGGGGCTTTTTAAACCATGGAGCGCCCGACCTAGCATGTTCCTCCTCGTCTTCATAGGCCGCAGAGCCATTAATGATGCTACCCTCCTCTTCACCATCATTGTCCTTTTTGAACAAACAGATGACAACAAGAATCACAAGTGATTAGAGTGAAAGTAACCTTAAAACAAACTCTTGCTTTATGTGTCATGCATTAATGATGCATATATGGTTGTGATTATGGAATGTTTACTTTCTGGAGGGCAGCATCAATCTCTTGCTGCTCAAATTGCATTCTTTGCAGCTTCTGCTCCTCTATCCTTCTCCTCTCCTCTTCTTCTCTGGCTTTGGCCATTTGTTCAAATCGGGCACGCATATCCACCTTCTGTTTGAATGGTGACTCCTCGCCCTTCACTGGAGTTGATTTGCTTTCCTCCTCCTGAATTACAAAAGTTGTAAAGTGACACTGAGATAATCCTTGACTGATATAGAGAAATTTTGTTTGTGGCATCTTGAATTATTGATGTCTTATTGGAAAATTAACATTGCTATATAGCATATGGGTACGCTTACCTCCTGGAACCTCTCAGCTTCTCTCTCTTTAATTTCATCATCGATGGCCTTCCTTCGTGCTCTCTCCATCTCAATCTTTTTCTGAATTTCCTCCTCAGTCAGCTCCTTGATTTTCTCAAACTTGGACTTGAGGTTTTTGGCCTGGATGGAGCCAGTCCTCTTGAGCTTAGTCAGCTCTTCATACTCTGTGCTGACAACATCTGAGCTTTCATTTATTTCGTCCTGTGAAATAGAAGCCGATGTAATCAACATAACTGTTTGTTTTGTAAATTATGGAAAAAGTCTGTGTGTTTGTGATTCTATGAAATATTTGTTTAAATTCATAAGGTAAAAGAAGTCCTAATTGGCTGAGAGATTAATGCTTATTAGGTACACCTGTACAATTATATGCACTTCAGCCCAACACATCCACCTTAACCTCTATGAAGCTCAAAATGTTTTAGTTACTGGTGAAATTGAAATAAACACAGATGTTAAGGTGGAAGTACTGTATTGAATTGCTTATAACTGTACAGGTGTACCTAATAAAGTGAGTGTATACTAAGCCTGAGCTCCCAGAACACCTACATTGTTGATGGACTTGCACCACATAAATTGTCATCTGTTCTAAACTCACCTCGCCCATCTCCTGCCTGAGTTGTTCATATTCCTGCTTCTCCTGCTCCAGTCTCTTTTTGCGTTCCTCCGCCTTACGTCTCTTCTCAGCGTCGTCCTTCTCTTTCAGCCGCTCTTCAAAGTTGATCTCCAGTTTTCCAGGGTGCAGTGCTTCCTGAGACTCACTCTTTACCATGCCTTCTTCCTCATCTAAAACCTATACAGACAGTTAGGGAATGATGTAACTGACTGAATCAACAATTATGTTCATGTTGTATGATCATCCAAGCTGGCTTTTGTTTATAATAGAGTAAAACAATTAAAATTCAACTACTAACCCAACAATAAATGATCCCATAAAAACAGAAAAAACAACGCAGAAACCATTCTGTACCTTTGTTGCACATAGCATTTAAAGAACACTTGAGAAAAGATCATCTTCATCTGGAGACCTTCATAAATACATGCATAGTAAAATACTGTATACTGTATTAAGAACTGTTTCTTCATAGTGTTTCATCTCTAGATGCAGATGCTTCCTGATCCAGGCCAGGGCTCTTAAAGGAATCATTTGGACAAGGAACAACAATGCAGGTGTACCATTTGCACCCATAAGAATGATATATGGTAAATGGACTTACATTTGCAAAGCGCTTTTCTATGCAGTGTTTCTTTTTTTTTAAAAAGGGAAAGCTGAGCAGCTCAACAGCTGCCAAGTCATGCAGACTTACCATGCTCTTGCGAGCCTCAGCAAAGAGCCTCTTCTCCTCTTCCAGTCTCCTCTTGGCTTCTTCCTCAGCCTTCTTCTGCTCCTCCTCTCTTCTCTGGCGTTCCAGCTCCTCAAAACTGGCACATATCTTCCCAGGCTCACTGCCCTCCAGGTTCAACAAGGCCATCAGCACCTCATCGTCCTCATCTACAAGCTGAGTAAAAATACAAGAAGGTAAGTTTTCAGCACTGTAGATAAGAGGTGGCTGATACTGCAATCATCTGTTTTATGAAACTTTTGAAAATGAGGCTCTTCATTTCTGAGATACAGTATATAACACGACCATATCACCACCAGATATGTGTACATTGCATGAGAATTTTCTCTCATAAGAGAGCTTTCTTTCTTTCCTTCATTTTTAATTGCATTTTATATTTATTTATACGAAGCATACTGACCATGCTCTTCCTGGCTTCAGCAAAAGCTCTCCTCTCCTCTTCCATTCGTTTCTTAGCCTCCTCTTCTGCTTTCTTGCGCTCCTCTTCAACTCTTTGCCTTTCCAGCTCTTCAAAAGTCAACCTCAGTTTTCCAGGCCGTAACTCCTCTTTGTCTTCCTGAGATGGCTGATTGTCCTCCTCATCGTCTCCCTGATATGACACGAAAGTATTGTTAACCATATAAAACCATTTGTATCATATATGATACGTGAGGTTTCAGAGCAAAAAAAAAAAAAATCACCAAAAATGCCCCATGTATCAAATGTGATAAAAAAAAGAAATAGAAATAATCTAAATAATATGGCACCTCTATTCCTATATGCCTGGACTGTCTGTCTATGCATATATGGCAAATAAAATCGTGAATCTTGAATTTCGAATCATGAATTTTATTTTGGATTTTGTTAAAAGGTTTAATAAACATCTCAGTTCCAAAAAATTTGAATGTTCTGGCTATTTTTTGATATGTTGGGCTTTACAGGGATAAAGTAGGTAGTCAAACATCACATATTTTAATCACTAATTCCAAACTATGTTGATATTTTGTATTGCAAAAACAAGTCTTGATTACCATTCCCAGCCGGGCCTCCTCAAAAGCTTTCTTCTCATCCTCCAGGCGGCGTTTGGCGTCCTCCTCAGCCTGCCTCCTCCTCTGGTCCTGCCTTTCCTTCTCTAGTTCCTCAAAAGTCATCTTCAGCTTTCCAGGAGTTACCTGCACCTTTTCAGAGGGCTTCTCCTCTTCATCCTACAAGCCGCAATCATTAAGGTAGTTGTAAAAAAACA